CTGTTTTCATGTCCAAACAGACTTCCTGTCTTCATGTCCAAACAGACCTCCTGTTTTCATGTCCAAACAGACTTCTTGTCTTCATGTCCAAACAGACTTCCTGTCTTCATGTCCAAACACAGACCTCCTGTTTTCATGTCCAAACAGACTTTTTGTCTTCATGTCCAAACAGACTTTTTGTCTTCATGTCCAAACAGACTTCTTGTCTTCATGTCCAAACAGACTTCTTGTCTTCATGTCCAAACAGACTTCCTGTCTTCATGTCCAAACACAGACCTCCTGTTTTCATGTCCAAACAGACTTTTTGTTTTCATGTCCAAACAGACTTATTGTCTTCTTGTCCAAACAGACTTCCTGTCTTCATGTCCAAACAGACTTCCTGTTTCAATATTTGTCATGTCTGATCATCAAACTTTCTCTAGAAGACATTTGTTTTGAAATTTTTGTAGCTTCTTTTTTTGTTGCTCTCAGTCCATGGTGATGTAAAACAGTCTTCACTGTGGACAAACACTGGTGGATAGGAACTCTGGTAGACAAGGACTCTGGTAGACAAGGACTCTGGTAGACAAGGACTCTAGTGGACAGGAACTCTGGTAGACAAGGACTCTGGTAGACAAGGACTCTGGTAGACAAGGACTCTGGTAGACAAGGACTCTAGTGGACAGGAACTCTGGATTGGGGCACTGGTGGACAGGAACTCTAAAAGCAGCTAAGCTACAAGCTAAGCTAACAGGCTGACCTCAGGGAAAAAACCTCAATTTTGTCGAAGCTCCAACATTCACGGTTGAAACTCGTGCCTTCGAGTAAAAAGTTGTTTTTCTCTGAAAAAAGAATCTGAGAACTTTTTTACAGATTTTTTATTAAAAGCTTTGTGTGAAAAATGTTAAAGAGCTCAAACCACCAAGCGTCCGCCATTTTGAGAACAAAGAGAGACAGCCCATGTCACGTCAAGGGGCCTCCCTCCCATTTTTCTTAGAGACACGCTGCTCGCTCCCTCACTATCCATCCTTCTTATACTGCCATCTGGTGGTTGAACAAAGGTACTACACTCAAAACAACTTCAGCAACATTTCTTCTTAAATTTGACAATAATTACTAATTAATTAATTAATTCAAACAATATTATCGTTTATCGCAATAAGAATGGTGACAGGCCTAGTGGGGACATGTCCAAATGTCCAACCAATGGTTTTAGACCCTGACGTTGTTAAGAACGGTCTGACTGTCCCATGTCGTGTGAAGCTCCAGCTCTTCTGTCGTTAGACGTTGCTGAGTTCTTTGATGCTCCTGGATCTGTCGGAGCAAAGCTGCAGTCAGTCACGATCACTAACAGCAAGTCGGCCTCGTCAACTTAAAGCGCCTCCAGAACCTTCAGCTCCACCGCTGAGACGGTTCAGATGAAGGTTCTGGATGATTCTGAACGAAAACAAAATTCAAACCTTGTTCCCAGCTCGTTAAAAAAATTATTCAAGTTCCACCAAAGACCTGAAAAGACCAGAACTAATGACGGTTCTGCTCACGATGAGTGGATCTTCTGTTTAGAGTCCGAGTTCTGATCCTGACCCAGAGCGGCTCTGGTTCTGGTCCGGCCTGTCTCATGTTTCTTGTCTCCTCAGGAACACGCGTTTGAGAGCAGCCAGAAGTACAAGGAGGGGAAGTTCATCATCGAGCTGGCTCACATGATCAAAGACAACGGCTGGGAGTGACGCGTCGCCTCGTCCTCCAGGATCTTTGAACGCTCTTTACTGGACTGGGTGGAGCCGCCTCCACCTCCACCTCCACCCCTCCTTCACTCCCTGTGGGACCTGCTCATCGTTGGTTCTTCAGGACCGTGTGTTTGGGCGCCGGCTGTGTGAACGGACATGTTTTGTTTTTCTTTCTTCTCATCGTGGACGCTTCTCGGTCTGGTCCAGTTTCCCAGTTTCAGCGCTGATGGGTGTTACTGGTGGTCC